TTTTAAGAGTATGATTTATCTTGTGAGTGCTTTGTAGGTGCTAAAATCTGGAGCTAGCGTATATGTTTCTTATGGTTGCCTATCAGCAATTCACAAGCTGACTTGCTTAAGTAAGTCAGGCGATCTTGTCGAGATACTGAACAATGCAAACATTTCAAGGTACATTGTTTGTAATCTGTTATTTATTGTTGTTTTTATCTGTTGAGAAATCTTTAACCCGGTTTTTTTCAAGCTTGAGCTTTAGGTTGACTTAACCCTGTTGTTTTCTAGCTAATGATAATGTGTTTCATGATGCTGTAGTGTTTTGGCGGGAATTTTGTCAAGGAAAGATCATCATGTGGTCGTTGTTGCACTACAGATTGCTGAAGTGCTTCTTGAGAAATACAGAGATGCTTTTTTGAATTCCTTTATAAAGGAGGGTGTTTTCTTCGCAATTGCAGCACTCTTAAATTATGATAAGGGGCAACAGAATCCAGTATCTGGTTTCATTCAAGGATCTGTTCCGAAAGAGATTGTGAAATGCTTGTGCCAGTCTTTTGAAGGATCGATTTCCTCTTCTTCACAAACTTGCAAGGTTGAAAATGACTCTGTCTACATCCTCGCAACACGTATCAAGGAGAGTTTCTTTGGTCCTGAGGTATTCAACTCTCAGAAAGGCTTGATGGATGTCCTCCAGAACCTCAAGAATTTGTCGGTAGAACTTAACGATTTGATGACTGTACCTATTGATGCACATGTCCAACATGGTGAGAAGTTCTTCTCAATATGGAATCAGATCATGGATCGGCTGAAGGGAAGGGAATCTGTGTCCACTTTTGAATTTACAGAGAGTGGAGTTGTAAAGGCACTGGCAAATTATCTGTCTAATGGACTCTACGAAAGGAAACTCAGCAAAGGCGGTCCTGAATGTGATAGTTTACCACTTGTTGGTAACAGATTTGAAGTGTTTACAAGATTGCTTTGGTCTGATGGCGAGGCTACTTCATCCGTGTTAATACAGAAGCTCCAAAATTCCTTATCTTCTTTAGAGAACTACCCAATTATCTTAAGCCAAGTTTTGAAACAAAGGAGCTTATTTGCGGCTGTTCCGAATGAACGTTGCATAAGTTACCCCGTCCTAAGAGTTCGTTTTGTTAAAGCAGAGGGGGAGGCTTGTTTGCGTGATTACTCCCAAGACTTTGTCACCGTTGACCCACTTTGCTACTTGGATGCTGTCGATCAATTCATGTGGCCTAAAGTGAATTTGAAACCTTTAGATTCCGTCGAAGCAAAAGATCATCAGGCTATAGAATGTCAATCTTCCCAACTGCATTCAACTTCGATATCTTGTCAAGGTGAAAGCTCAAGCCATATGGAGATTGACAGTCCTAATGCATCTCAGTTGCAGGTAGTTTCTTTATCTTTAGCCTTAGGAAGTACTACTAGAATGTGAAGTTTTTTTAATGTTCATGTTTTCTTTTGATTAGGAGGTATTCAAACGTTATCAATATGGATTTAGGTGAAGCAATATATTAGAACAGAACTCTTTTCTTTCCACCTGATATTCCAAATGGTGAAAGTTTTCAAGATGAAATGAGAGTAATAGTTTTGATTATCACTCTTAGCTGCATCACCATTACTCTTACATCATAAACGTTCTTTACGCTTTCATGTAGCAGTATTCTGAATTAAAATGAGCATTAGGTAATGTTTTGGTTTATGGTTTACTTGAGAAGAAGTGGACTTCCGTAGTATATTTCCTTCGCTCCAAGCTTCTTTTGTTGGTTATTGCAGTAACTTCATCTTTTGTGTTTGGAAATTTTTGTGCGTCCAGGGATCTCAAGAGGAGGAAGACCAAGATCACCTTACAGATTCATTAGAAGAGAATTCTTCCTCATCTGAAGGAGAGGATGTTCGACCTCGACTTCTGTTTCGTTTGGAAGGGCTTGAACTAGACCCCTCTTTGACTGTTTACCAGGCAATTCTCTTACACAAGCTAAAATCAGAAAATGAGACTACCAACGATTCAAAGCTGAGTGGACACCACACAATCACTTATGAAAGGGCTCCACGACTTGCAGAGTCTCATGAAAATCTGTTTCCTCTCGGATCTATGGACGATGACGAGTATCACCCGTTCTTATCCTACTTGTTTGCTCATAGACTTGGTTTGCGCCACAAAGGGACAAGTCCTTCTGCGTATGCCATATTGTTTCTGCTTAAGAGTCTAGAGGGCATGAACAGATTTCTCTTTCAGCTGATTTGCCATGAAAAAATTAATGCTTTTGGGGAAGGCAGGCTGGAGAGTTTGGATGATCTACGGGTGCAGGTTCGTCCGGTGCCATATGCTGAATTTGTTAGCTCTAAGCTTACAGAGAAGTTAGAGCAGCAGCTGCGTGATTCTTTCGCTGTGTCAACCTGCGGTCTACCGCCATGGTTTACTGATCTAATGGAGTCATGCCCATTCCTGTTTAGTTTTGAAGTCAAATCTAAGTACTTCCGACTTGCAGCATTCGGTCCACAGCAAGTCCATCATCAGCCACAACACCTTAGCAATTCAAATGCTCGCGGTGAAGGGCGATCAATAACTGGTAGTTTACCTCGTAAAAAGTTTTTGGCTTGCCGTGAAAAGATTCTAGAGTCTGCTGCAAAAATGATGGAGTTACACGGCACCCAGAAGGTGGCCATTGAGGTTGAGTACAGTGAAGAAGTCGGAACTGGCCTTGGGCCAACCCTGGAATTCTACACACTTGTCAGTAGAGCATTTCAAAATCCTGATCTTGGTTTGTGGAGAAGTGATCGTAGTTCCTTGGCTGGAAAACCAATGGAAGACCCGGGAAGTTTGGTGCCTCCTACAGGACTCTTTCCACGCCCTTGGTCAGCTACCTCAGCTGCGTTTCCAGGCGTGCTGCAGAAATTTGCCCTCTTGGGGACAGTTTTAGCCAAGGCACTACAAGATGGACGAGTCTTAGACATTCCTTTCTCCAAAACCTTCTATAAACTAATTCTCGGACAGGTAAAATTGGATTCTTCAAGCAGCTCATCTTACATATGAATCTCTTTCAGACATTTGTCAACATCTAACCGAGCATTTTTTTTTTCCGTAGGAGTTGAGTTCGTTTGATATTCACTTTGTTGACCCTGAACTTAGTAAAACACTGGTGGAATTGCAAGCTCTGGCACGTAGGAGAAAGGTTATCTCAGAATCACAATGTGATGTCCGAGCAGCCAAGTGTGACTTAAGTTTCCGTGGAACAAAGATTGAGGACCTTTGTCTTGAATTTACCCTGCCTGGGTACACGGACTATGTTCTCGCTCCCCAGTTTGCTAATGATATGGTACGTTTTGTGAACAAGCATCTTTCTTAAGTTTCCTGCACATTGTGGATTAATCTCTACTCTCTTTTTAATTCTAGGTAACTATGGATAACCTCGAGGAGTATGTAAAGGCTATAGTCAATGCCACAGTACGTAATGGGATCCAAAAACAAGTGGAAGCGTTTCGGTCTGGATTTAACAAAGTACGTAGAGTCTTCTCTTTAGCTTTTTTTCTTTCCTCTAAAGATTTTAAGGTTGCTTGAACAATTCCTTTTGTTATTACACCCTTTCAGGTTTTTCCTATTGAACATCTTAAGATATTCAATGAAGAAGAACTGGAAACTTTGTTGTGTGGAGAACGAGATCTCTTCAATGTAAGAAAACCCTTCAGGGTCTATGGTTTTGGGCACCGTTTTTCATCAACTGAGAAGCTAAGTCCTTCCTCTTGCAGATGAATGAAGTCTTGGATCACATCAAGTTTGATCATGGATATACTTCTAGCAGCCCACCAGTTGAAAATGTAACTGCTTTCTTTCTTCGTTTTTGTTTTCACTGATCTATAACTAATTGGTTGAGTTGTTTTTATGTTGCAGTTGTTGGAGATTTTGCATGAGTTTGACAAGGAGCAACAACGAGCTTTTCTGCAATTTGTAACAGGATGTCCTCGGCTACCCCCTGGCGGTTTGGCGTCTCTCAATCCTAAACTTACAATTGTCCGCAAGGTCCACTCTTTATCTATGTTTTCTCTGATAGTATAATCTCTCTTTCTTTTTTTTTTAATCAGCTCTTTTTGCCCTGTTTTCATTTGTTGTTGCAAACAGCATGGTAGCGATTCATCAGAAACCGACCTGCCTAGTGTGATGACTTGCGCTAATTATCTGAAGCTTCCACCTTACTCTTCCAAAGTGACATCTCTTTTCATCTTTGTTTAATCACTATTTCCAACTAATGTTTCTCTCTGGACAATAACCGGTCTCAGGATCGATCTCACTGGGTTTATGTTTCTGCTTGTTGTTTTATTCTCTGTGTATTTGCAGGAAAAGATGAAGGAGAAGCTGATCTATGCCATAACTGAAGGGCAAGGTTCCTTCCACCTCTCTTAAATTATCATCATGTAAAAATTTAGCAGAAGCGGTAGGAGATGAGAGAAGAGTGGCTTGTTAGAAGAAAACAAGTGGATGCTCTTCCTTCACATTGGCTTTAATGTTTCTTTTTTTTAGGATTTTGTACAAAAGAATAGTAATCAGTAGAAGTAGAATGACGAAACTCTTTTTTTTTTCTTTTGGACGTTGATGTGTACATATAAAAAATCTAACTCCCATTTTCGAAAAAGAATATATAAATAAAATCATTTTCGAAGGAAGTAAAGAAGAAAGTGATCGATATTTCACAAGTTTGTTTCCTCCAACCATAGGTTGTATATTTCCTGCATTATATTCCACAATTTGATGCGATAGATATCATTAGACTTGTTCCTATCTCATTATAAGATTTGCAATGTTTATAGCAGTATTCATTAGTATGGTTGCAATGTCATTTCGGTTTAATAAATTATAAATAATACCATCTTGTGCTTATCTACTTCTTTGTCGTCTATCTATTTTTTCATATCAGTGCGACATTTTATTTTCGTCGTCTTACCAAAAAGTTTATGTCGAAATGGTTGACAAAAGAAAAAAACACTACAAAATGTAATGACATAATAAGGATTATCTTTCCTTTTATATATTAATAAACAAGTGTTTCCAAATATAAGATAAACCATTTACACTTTCAGACATTAATATCATTCACAAAACACCTGAGATCAATATTCAAAACCTTATTATTAAATAAAACTATTATTAGTGCCTCTGATATTATTAATAGGTAACTTTTTCTGGCAAGGCAACAATAGCTTTGACAAACGACTTGGTATCTCCGAAAGTAGATGGGAAGACAAACACAACCCCATTTGTGTTAGACCCAACCCAACATGCATTGCCTTCAGATTTGTCCTCAAACGCTAAACTCACATCAAGTACTACACCAACATCTGTCTCCTCCAAATCGCCACCACACTCGCAATCACTAATCGCTTCACCACTCGTGTGAATCTCCACCTTCGTACTATCACGTCCAGTAGTACTATTTTTGTCACTACCTTGTTCCTTGACAAACAAGAAAGCATCCGCTCTTGCGGTTTTGCCGTTTGGAACGGCTGTTTTCATGCAGGCTGGTGAGATTTTCGAGCATGTTTTGGCTCGGAAAACAAGGGGTTCACCGCGGTCGAGAACGGAGGCTGATCTAGGAAATTCATTGAGGAAATTGTCTCTTTTGCCCGGTGGGAGGTAGAAGATTGGTTTGAGTGTGGTTTGAGAATGAGCTAAAGAGCTTTGGATTTTAGCCCATTTGGTCAAGAAATCTGTCTCAAGTAGGAGATCAGCTATTAGGATGCTGCAGCTTATCCCAATTGAGTATCCACCTCCCTCAAAATTAGTCACCTATCAACAAATAATCAACAACATGACAACATCAATATTGCAAGTCCAAGAATCTTAGTTTTAGTAACAGTTTTCATTACAATATAGAGTTTGTTGACAAAAGAAACTACAATATAGATTTCAATTAAAGCATTTCCAGCTTAAGGTTATCATGAGACAAATTTGGACTAGAATTCTAAAGTTTGGATATACATATATATTTTGACCAAAAAGGAAAAAAAAAATTCCATGAGAACCTTGCAATAAAGTTGTTCGTGGAATATGAAAATATTTCAAATGGCATAAATCCAATATAAAAAAAAGGAAAAAAAATTCAAAAAACGAAAAAAAACGAAAAAAGAAAAGAAAATGTAGAATTGTGAGAATAGTCTCCAGATATGCTTGACAAAAAAAAAGTCTCCAGATATGAGATACTCTAAAAAGAAAATTTAAGAAACTTATTTACACATGTCCTAATATAATTAATTTATTTAAAAAAAAAATTAATTAGATAATTAAATTTTGATAAACTTTTCACCATTGGGGATGCTTTTAATTTCAGTTAATATAAATTATATCAATATATTTATGTATATACCAACAAAAAGAAAGAAAGAATTTAAGCAAAAAAAAAAAGAAAAAAAAAAGGAAAAAAGTTAAAAGTTTAGTTACCTGAACATAGAACAATGGAGAGAACTGAGGATCAACTTCATCAATGTCTCTCCAGAAGACAGTCTCCACTTCAGCTCTCCTTCTGTCTCTTCTCACCATTTCAAAATACTCCGGCAAACCCGCCGGAAACCTCGCCTCAACCAGCCTAACGCCACTGTCGTTGGCCACCACCTCCAGACCATCTTCCTCTCCCAACGTCGTCCTCCTCCGCCGCAGTCTACCACAAACCATCGGCTGATCTGTCAAGGCTCTTCCCAACGACTCCTTTATCCATCCAGCGACTAACCACCCTCTCTCACCACTGTCACCTGCATGCTTGTAATACGTAACTATGTTCAGTGTTCGCCGGAATATTCCAGCTCCGACGGGATCTCCGACGGATATAGAGCGGACTTCACGGTGTTGCGTGACTTCCACCGGCATAACGCTCTGTACTCCGGCGACCATCGATTTGGAGACAATGGTTTCCATGTTTGGCTCTATAGTTTGTGAAGTTGGCTTTAATTAGATCGTCCTCTACTATTTATATATAGGAGCATTAAAGTTACTTTCGATTAATAAAAAAACAACGGTAAGATAAATATCGTAGAATACATATTTAATTTGAGACGACTTGCATTAATTGAAACTGTCTACATGCTTAACTTTATTCACTCTCTTCTTCTGCGTTTGCTTAAAAAGTAAACATGGAGTTTTAATGATTATTGACTTAGTCAAGATTTACAGTTGAGTGCAGCAAAGTTTGTAGTAATATTTAATTTATCAAACTGTAATAATGGTTGTAAACATGGAGGTTTAATGATTATTGACCTTAATCAAGATTTACAGTTGAGTGCAGCAAAGTTTGTAGTAACATTTAATTTATCAAACTGTAATAATGGTTGTAATAGTGTTCCAAAAAAAAAAGTAATAAATGGTTGTAAACATGCAATTAATGATGGAGCTCTGGTATTCAATATGTCTATGAAAACTACATAACACCATTAATACCTTAACAGTATACTTACTTATCAGTTGCATTCTGGATAAATTCCACTAGTTTAGCCGACACACATTTTTTTAATTACATATTCTAACTTTTCACGTACGCCACGGGTTTCACGTGCTTCAAAAAGATGTTCGATCCATGCAAAAACATAATGATAAGAAAGAAAACCTCTAACCTGTTCTAATAATACGTTAAGCAGGTTTTAGTTAGTTAAGAACCAATCATGCGTGCAGTCATTATCAAATCATAATGGTTTAGAACGTAGAAAGTTCCATAAGAAAAAGAGTGCTCAGCGTCCACCTAACTATATGTGTTATTGTGAGACTGCCCCGCTTAAAACTGAACCTCATAAATTAAACACATGATTTACGTGTGTACTCACAGTAATCTTGTAAGCCAATTTCGAAGTTTCGGAAACTCACAAAGTCACAATAAGTCCTCAAATTAATTAGCAACAACCACTTATATATGTCATCCAGCACATAGCAATAGCGACACTATTAGTCATTGAATATTACTCTTTGCACGAGCTGCTTGAGGTGGTTCCGACACTTTCTCGCAACAACAACAAGGTCTCCATTGTGCTCAAGCAAAATAAAGACTAACAACTCTTCTCCGAACAAAAGAATACACACTCTTTTCTCTCAAAACCATAGTTTTGATTCACGCTTGTCATGGATTCTTTCACTGTTCTGCAACAGTGAATCCTAGATTAGTTGTTGCAAGTAGTAGCTTTTGGTCTCACATATCATCAGGACTAGTGATCTTAAAGTTTATAATGTTACTAAAAATCTTCAAAGCTTTTTTTTTCAAAATTAAGCCACATTTATCAAAGTCATGCTAAAAAGTAAAAATGTATCCAACACTTTCTGTAAGTTAGATTAGTTGTATTTCGATAATTTCAGTATAATTGTACAATGAAGATTAGAAAATATATGAGAATTAGAGATGATTAGCGGCTACAAAATGCATCTTGGGCCTACTAAACTAACAATAATTTAACGTAAGCTTTCATATAATAAATGGACTTTAGGCCCATTACTTAAACTGTGCTACGTGGTATTTCGCTACTAAAAAAAGCGGAACTCATTCATTTAATTACAGGAGACGTCATTCACTCTCTTCGCCGGAGAACAGTCGCCGTCACCGGAGGTATGAGTTACTTTTTTTTTTGTTCTTTAATGGAAGCTTACTGAATCAAATTCGTGCTGACTTCTTCTCCCTTTGTCTAGGGTTTATTTTTAGTGTACTCGTTATGTCAACGGACTCAGAACTTGAGGATGTAGAGACTAAGAAGGGAAGCGAGATTGAGAATGTCTCTGATGCAGAATCTGAGGATCTCTCACAAAGATCGAAACTTGAGAGTCTAGGAAGTGTAGTTTCATCAGCTAATGAGGAGAAGCTGAAGCTATGTGACTCAGATTTGGTTTGGGGTAAAGTGAGAAGCTATCCATGGTGGCCTGGACAAGTGTTTCTTGATCCATCCGTTGCCTCCACCAAGGCCAAGAAGTACTTTAAGAAGAAGAAAGGAACTTTCTTGATTGCTTATTTTGGGGATTTCAGTTTCGCTTGGAACCATGTATCAAAGATCAAACCTTTTCATCATCATTTCTCGCAAATGGTGAATCAGAGTGACTCTCGTGAGTTTCGTAATGCTGTTGGTTGTGCTTTGGAAGAGGTTTCAAGGAGAGTGGAGTTTGGTTTGTCTTGTGCTTGTGTCTCTGAGGAAGCTTATGACAGAGTCAAGACTCAGAACGTAGTGAACCCTGGTGTTAGAGAGGAGTCAAGGGTGAGATACGGTGGAGATAAGGTATCAGATGCTGTCTTCTTCGAACCTGTGAAACTTGTGGAGTATATGAAGCGTTTAGCTTGCTTTCCGAGGTATGATGAGAGTGATAAGCTGTTGTTTGTGAGTAACCGAGCAAAGTTATTGGCTTTTCAGCAATGGACAAGCTATCTTAGCTTTCCTAGGTATGAAAATGAAACGTTTTTAAAGGATATGACTGATGAGAAGAGAGAAGAGCAGACTTTGTCAGATTTTATTGCAGACAAACGGTTTGGGAAGTCGCATTCTGACAAGAAGCGTAAGGTTGAGTCTTTGGAGTCAAGTAAGCCTAAGAAAAAGATCAAGAACAATCGGCAAAGAGAGGATTCGTCTGTTGGGAATAAGGTGGCTGAACCATGTTTTGCAATGAGAACTATCCCTTTGAGAACGGAAAGCGAGATGGATCATGCACTAAAGCCTTGGGGTGATTCTAACTCTATTTCAAAACTGGAAGTTGAGAACAAGAAGATGAAGAAGCCTCAACTCAAAGAGCTTGCCCCAAAAAAGATTTCTCCTCCTGATGATATGGTAGCAAGCCGAAAGGGAACACCTCAACCACTCCACTTAGAGCACTCAAACTATGAAGATTTTGAGAAGTTCATAGAGGAAATGTCCTGCAGTAATCTCAACCATGAATCGGATCAGGCGAGTATACCTACTGATGTGAAAGAATCTTCAGACAAGCTGATCTTACCTGAGAATAAAGATATCACTGACTCTGGCTCGAAAGAGGAGCAAACCGGTGTCAAAGACTGTTCAGCAGATTCATCAGCACCAAATGCATTGATCCTCAAGTTTGCGAGTTCAAGTTCTGTTCCGTCCGAAGAAAAGCTGCACGGTATATTTAACCGTTACGGTCCTTTGAGAGAAGCGGAGACTCGTGTGATGAAGAAAGGAAAGAAAGCAAGAGTGGTGTTCAAAAGAGGTGAAGATGCAAAGACTGCCTTCAGCAGCTCCGGGAAATACAGCATCTTTGGACCTTCTCTTCTAAGTTACAGCCTCAAGTATGTTGGCCCCAAAGACAAAGAGAGCAATGGCAGAACCCATTGAAACACAACTGTTTAGTATCAAAGTTTAGGGTTTATCAAGATTAGGACACGAGCTAACTTTTGTTATGAAACTGAGATATGTTATAAACTGAACTCTCTCTATGTTGCAAAGAGTATGTTTCAAGGTCAGAACTTAAGGATTTAAAGCAAATGAATTTGGAATCTCAAATGACAAGGGAAAATTAACAAGATTGTCTAAGTGATATAAAATAAGAGAAGTGATTCAAAACTCAAATATAATAATATATAAGGATCAAGATAAACTCAAAAGATTCTTCAAGAAAAGGTTTCAACACAACATGATCTTTGATTAAGTGAACTAGCAAAAAGTGATTATATCAAAATAAATTCAAAAGCTTGGGGGCATTGTTTAAGATCTTGGCTTCTCCTTCTTCTCCTTGAATAAGGCCAAGAGTGAAACACCAGAAACCTTGACGACCTTGAACCTGACTCCGGGAATATCTCCCACAGCATGACCCTTACGACCAAATCCAGCAATCAACACCTCGTCCTGCAACAACGTCAACACAAGATATGATGATTTCAACATTTTGAAATAAGATAATGAAATTTTAAATAATTGCTTGTACTAGAGACTATACATTTTCCTCAATGTAGTTCAAGCAACCATCGTTGGGGACAAAAGCGGCAATCTTCTTCCCGTTCTTGATAAGCTGCACTCTAGCACACTTACGGATAGCAGAGTTAGGCTGCTTAGCCTCAATACCGCTGCACAATCAAAACAAAGAGACTCATCAATATATATATAAAAAAAGGATAGAAACTTCAAACATATGGTTTTGATGGGTTACATTTTCTCAAGAACGATTCCTTTGGCGTGGGAAGAACCAGCAAAAGGCTTCTTCCACTCATTGCCCTGATGGGACTTCTTGTACTGCTTGTCAGCCCACCTCTGATTAATCCTAAGCCTTTTGAGCTTGCGCCCAGCTCCCATTCCCCTTGTCTTACTGTTTCCATCATATCATCACATTAACAAAACATTTTGAGGAAACGAAACCAAGTTTCATTTGATAAGGTCAAAACAATTAATAATCAACGATTCAATTCAGTACTCGGAACAAGACAGAACCATGATCGCAAATGTTATAACGATAAACTCAATAACTCAATTCAAATTCATATCTACGTCACAGAGGTAACAAGTATCAATTCAACTATCAAATGGACTCTAATATACTCAACAGAGCGTAAAAACAAGAACATCAAAATCAAGTCGAATAGAAACAGAAGAGGAAGAAGGTGAAACGTACCCCATGTTTGGTTGATGGAAGGAGAGGATCTACAGCTAAAAGGTACTTGCGGCAAGCGCAGCTAACAAGATGATATTACTTTTAAAGCGGCTGCCAAAACCCTAATCCTTGTGAAGCTAAGTGGCTCTAAATATATGTGGAGGATGCGCGATACTGCGGCCCATTAATAATAATGTAGCCCACTAATATACAAGCCCATCACATTTTGGACTTTAAGATGTTGGTTGTCTGAAACTTTGGATCTAACGAACACGTACATATGAGTAGAGAGAAAAAAAATATTTGACTGAGAATCAACCCAGACATTGCTGTTAGTTTAAGATTGCTTAATTTTTAGAAACCCAGTTTTTTTTATATTTTATTTTAGAGGGAATTTAATATTCTTGCATTTGTTAGCATCTTCTCGATGTGTGAAAAAAAACATAATCACATGTTTCTTTGGAAACATAATAATGATATACAAACAGGAATAGTGTTGTCAAAAGAAAAAAAAAAATACAAAAACAATAAATGGTAGAGCACATTCAAAACAAAACCAAAATGAAAACACAGTAGTTTCATTCGGTTTTGTTTTGTATTAAACTATTAATATGAGAATTAAAACGCACACTACAAGAAAACTAAGCCATTACTAGGAAAATTTACTAGGAAAACATTTCCTCGTAAAAATACTACTAGTTTACTTCGACTTTACGAGGAAACATCTTTTCCTCGTAAGGTTCTCGTAAACTTACGAGAAAAGCGTTTCCTCGTAAAGTGGAAGTAAATTTACGAGGCTCTTACGAGGAAAATAATATTTTCCTC